AATATACACAAAGCCCTCAATGAAAAGGGAATAATGTGAAAATAATATGAACTAAACCTGCATATTTTGACATTAAATATGTATTAAATGATTAAATCACAATGTGTTAATCATTAAATCATGAAAAGTGCTAAAAWTTTACAGATTTTTTTATTGTGATACAGACACAGGTGAATCTAGGGAACATTATTTCTGATCCTCTGACAGCATGGTGGATCTGTGGTTAGCACTGATGCCTCACAGCCAGAAGGTCCTGGGTTCCCCTGTTTGGACCCAGGGTCTTTCTGTTTGGAGTTTGCATGTTCTCGTTTGGGTTTTCTCCAGGTGCTCCAGTTTTCCCAACAGACTAAAAACATGTACAATAGATCACTTTCAGACCTGGGCTCCCCTTGCAAAAGAGATCTGCAATCTCAATGGAATTTGCCTGTTTAAATAACAGTAAATAAATACATCTCCTAATCAATAATTTCTTTGAAAGCTACTCTTATGCCAAAGGAAAAAAAAGATAGGATAAGTGCATCATTCGAATGTTATAACAAACTTAGAGACAAGGTTATAATAGTGTTGGATTTTTAATTATAGCTTTTAGTTTTAATTTGTTTTGACTTTTTCTTTTAATTCAGTTAGTTTTAATTGGTTTTTAGAGTGGATTTGCTAGTTTTTATTAGTTATTATTGCTTTTTTAATGCTTAGTTTTAGTTTAGTTTTCATTAGTTCTAGTGTTAGTATATTTATAGTTTGAATAAACCTATTTGCTGAGGCATCCTCCCACTTGAGGTGTTCTTGTGAGTTAACTAAGCAGCAGCTATTTGGTTTGCAGTGAAAACAGTCCATTATAGCAACATCTTCCTAAAATAATTGCATAACTACATTTTGCCAACAAAGGACTTCTACCTGGCCGGGCTGTTGCTTGTTTTTCATGGGGTCTGCTGAGAGAGCTTGTCAAGACACTCACAGTTAGTTAGTCCCTTGAGAAGTATTCAGTCTTTTTATCACCTGTTTCCACTACAAGACACTTGCTTTTATTTTTCTCACAATCATTCAAAAAAATCCCAAAGTGAACCTTACTGCTTTCTCCCAATTTTTGTTGTTGTCATTTTGCAGGCTAGCGCTGAGCAGCAGCAAATTATAAACAAATGATGTTAATGCTATAAGATACTCTGAGCTAATGTGAAACTGCTAGGTTTGAAGAAAAAAATGTTTAATCAGTCCACATGGCTTAAAATAAAATGACAAACAATTAATTTTAGTTGGTTTTGTAAAAAGATTATACAGTTTCAGTTATCGTTTTTTTCATTTTATTACATTTTTTTATTCATTTCTGTTAACTAAAATGTTTTTTCAATTTCAGTTTTTGTTATTTAGTTAGTCTTAGTTAACTATCACTAGATGCCACATGGCGGTAACATAATGACTCCCGCACGCAGAAATGCACCCGAACTCAGAAGTCTTTATTCCTAATAAATGTCATGCTACTAGATGCATCCCAAAATGGTAGTGGTTTGGGTTGGGGTCTTGTTTTTTTGTGTTTGTGTGTGTGGGTGGGGGTGGGGTTGGACATGATGGATAGCCCCTCATCAGAGCTGAAAAACAAAAGATATCTGAAGCTCCTATGTTTAATAGTTTTTGAGCTTTAACCATTTTGGTATGTCCAGATACCCCCTTTTCAGATAAATTGGGGGTCCGTGGGGGCGGGGGACTGATTGGTGGGCCTGATGGATAGAGCTTCATCAGAGCTAAACAACCAAGAAAAATCTTAAGCTCCTATGCTGAACAGTTTGAGTTATAAGCATTTTTGCATGTCAGACACCACTTTTTCAGATAAATTAGGGGTCCCGGGAGATGGGGGACACTGATTGGTTGGCCTGATGGATAGAGCTTTATCAGAACTAAACAACAAAAGAAATCTGAAGCTTCTATGTTTAATAGTTTTTGAGTTATAAGCTATATTTCATGTCCTGACACCCCCACTTTGAAAGGAGCCCCCTCCTCAAATATGGGGTCTATCGTAAAATTGTTGGCTGGTGCAGTGTAGGTCAGACTCATCTACAGTCCTGCCAAATTTCATGTTGACTGGTGCAGCCGTTTTTGTGCTACGGTTGACCAAAAATCACAGAAAAAATAAATAAATAAACAGTACGAAAACAATACGACTCCCGCTTACGCTTCACGTGCGGGGGTCATAACAACCCTGCTTGGAGAACAGTGGAATATGTTTTATTCTTTATTCATAAGGATTAGATATCTGCAAACACTAATTATGACCCCCGCACGCGATGCGTAAGTGGGAGTCATATTGTTTTCGTACTGTTTATTTTTTTATTTGTTTTTCAGTGATTTTTGGTCACCTGTAGCACAAAAACGGCTGCACCGATCAACATGAAATTTGGCAGGACTGTAGGTGAGTCTGACCTACACTGTGCCAGCCAATGGTTTTACGATAGACCCCATATTTGAGGAGGGGGCTCCTTTCAAATGGGGGGTGTCAGGACAGGCAAAATTGCTTATAACTCAGAAACTGTTCAACATAGAAGCTTCAGATTTCTTTTGTTGTTTAGCTTTAATGAAGGTCTATCCATCAGGCCCACCAATCAGTGCCCCCCCCACCCACAGACCCCCAATTTATCTGAAAAAGTGGTGTTTGGACATATAAAAATGCTTACAACTCAGAAACTGTTCAACATAGGAGCTTCAGATTTCTTTTGTTGTTTAGCTCAGATGAGGGGCTATCCATCATGTCCCCCCCACCCCCCAAAAAAAGAAGACTCCCACCCAAACCACTACAATTTTGGGATGCATCTAATAGCATTGCATTTATTAGGAATAAAGACTTCTGAGTTCTGGTGTGCTGTGTTTTGCAACTTTTGTAGGGGTCACCTCAAGTGAAGAAACAAGATTTACTGCCTCGAAGCAGGCCTCGGACAGGCCTACTGAGAAGACAGGAACTCTGTCACAAACTGAACTCTATTTAGGCCATGACAGGTCATTTCAWCCTAGGAGAATTTCTCAGTTCTCAATCAGATAATGGACAGAACAATATTTTCTGTTCGTGATTCATTTGTTGTTTAACTAAGAATGTTTATGCATTTGTTAAACCATAATAATGACTGTCACAAGAAAAGTGGAATCACTTCTACTCTTTTATCGTGCCTAAAAGATTAATTAATGGTATATAAAAAATCACAGAGAAAATCATTAACATGTTTTCATTGCGTTTTTATATAAATCACTGTTTTTATTTTACTGGGAAAACAGTAATATAATTGTGAATTTTTCTTGGAAAAATCTTTCATTTATCTGGACTAACAAATGGTTCCGACTGATTACTTAAACAGAAATGTTAATTAATCATCATAAATGTTTTGCAGTGATTTCTCTTAGAGTCTATCAGAAGAAAAAGCTAAAGAGAGGTTATCATATTCTGTTGTGACAACTACAGAATTTTAGCCTAGAGCTGGCGCCGCTGGCAAATCTCTTATCTTTCTTCTTTCCCCTGACTCATCTTTACGGCTGAGGGCGGAACCAAAGTCGTCCGCTTCTATTACTAACACGGACGTCTTTGAGTGACAGAACACTTCTTCCTGGATGCCAAACTGGGAAGGAATGCTGTGTTTCTCTCTGGAGAAGCCAGCTTGACTCGTTAGGGCCCATAAGCCAATTAGGGGGATCTAACGGCCGGGACAGCGGCACGCCGCCCAATGTCCCACCCGAGACTTCAAGTCTCCAAGTGTTTTACCTTACGAGGGGAGATTTTATTTTGAAAGGAGGAACCGGATGCATCAGCTTGAATCTTTCTGGCGAGGATCGAAACAGATGAAAAGTTGCCTAAAATAACACCTTTTCGCCGAGGAACAGTGAGCGGGCCAATTAAAAAGTTCCCTGACTGATCGGAGGTGAAGCAGTGACTACCCAGGGTTTGGTTAAGAAGCCATCACCAGGTAAAAACTGACGTGTTCCGGGTGACATGTCATGTGGAAATCCTAAGCCCAGAAGGGACGTGCTGATCCGGTTGTACCACACACTTGGCAAAATAAGAGTAGTAGAACACTAATCTTATTTTCCTCCTGTTCTTGTCTTTATTTGCCAAAACTTAAGCTAACAGTGCCAGTAAAATTGTATGGTTGTTACATCAGAACTGACGTTTTGCTGTTCTATATAAGTAATCTGAGTTTGATGTGAATTAAAAATTCAGACGCGAGTTTTTATCTTATTTAACTTTGAAGCTTGTTATAGGAATAACCACAATCAGGTGTACTTATGATCTGTTCAATTGGTGTAAATAAATGATTGCATAGTCTTTATGAATCAACTTGAACTCATCTGAACGTTCCCTTATTGTGTCACTTTTCACTTCGCACAGTCAAGATATTAAAAGTAATGAGAAAATACCTTGGTAAAACTTTCCTCATAACCTTGTTTATGAGAGATATGCAGAAAGGCTTAATTCACTTTGAGCCTACCACCTACACTTTCAATTAGAGAGATAGGGTTAGCCATACACTAGAAAATGAGATTTGCCCTTTGTTTTGTCCAATTAACAACTGTGTTTAAAGAGCATTGGAAATGAAAGAAGTGGAAAAAGTAGGCTTTTGTTGACTTACTTACCTTGATTATAATTAGCAGGTAACATAGACATATCACCGTCAGGGGAAGGAAGAATCCAACGAAGAAGGTGTAGAATATAAAAGCTTTGTAGTAAATGTCCTGGGGCTCAGGCCACACTATCCCACACACTGGTACTTTGTTCAGGCCGCTGAAGATCATTGTTGGTAAGATGACCAACAGCGACACTCCCCACACTGTGAGATTAATTAGTTTGGCTATACAGGGCTTCCGCCATTTTGTGGACCTGATGGGGTGGACTACAGCCATGTATCGATCAATGCTCATCACCATGAGACAGAAGATGCTGGTAAATTGATTGAGAGAGTCTGGTGCAGGGAGGAGGAGGAGAGAAAACAGAGGAATACAGAAAATAAGAATATACAGTAGTCAATTATTAAAAGTCACAGAGAATGACAAATAAACCATTATTTTATTGACAAAAAAACCAAGATTGAAACTGTCCTGATGCATCTCAGTAATCCAGGTTGAAAAATAAATAAACAAACAAACAAAT